GTTAGCTGAAAGCATTTCATGAAACCAAGACAGCATCTGTAATTTGCTGAAAGTGACGGGCAGACTTTGGGTCTGGTGTGTATCTTTCTCACTGTGGTGAGTGTGTGCTGCTCAGCCTGGTGGGTTCAGACCACGAGTGCATCCCTGGATAGCTCTCAGCTGTGTGTCCTGTGACTTGGGCTCACCCAGGCCTTGGCAGCAAGCTTATGCTAAGCAACACCTGTTGGTGGAAGCTGTGGAATGACAGGCGATTCCCTCCCCTTAGACCCTTCTTTGGTTCATCTTTTGAGGGGCTCACTGATTGCCCCTCAGAATTTTTTAAATTAATTTTATGTGTGTGAGTGTCTCCATGTACATATGTGTACTATATATGTCCTAGGCGCCCACGGAGGCCAGAAGAGGGTATTGGATCCCACGGGACTGGTGTTGCGGGCAGGTGTGAACCACCAGATATGTGTGGGTGCTCAGCAATAAGTGTTAACTGATGAGCCATGAGCCAGCTTTCAAGCCCCCGAGACTGTATTTTAGCATCACTTTCTGCAAACACCGGGTCCAGGGACCTCTACCCATGGATGCTGGAGTAGTGGGGTGGTGGGAAGGACAAAGGCCTTGGGGACCAAGATTTCTAGGCTAGCATCCCCCCTCTGCACCTTTAAAGATCTTTAAAGATAGGGTGTAAATATCAGTCATATCCGGTGAAGACTGAAGGCTGGATGAGTCTATAGACTATTCTGAATCCTGTCTCATGTGCTCCTTTTCTGGAAACCAAATTGCTCTTTCCTCTTTCTCTATGAAATGATGCTACCAAGGTCATTATTTACAAGGATTGCTGATACATAGTAATATATGGAGCCAAGAATGAAACTGTGTTTCTCTTCAGAATACTGTTCTCTCTCTCTCTCTCTCTCTCTCTCTCTCTCTCTCTCTGTGTGTGTGTGTGTGTGTGTGTGTGCGCGCGTGTGTGTGTCTGTGTGTGTGTCTGTGTGTGTGTCTGTGTCTATGTCTTTGTCTTTGTGTGTGTGTGTTCAGGTCCTATCTACCCTGATTTTTTTTAAACAGAATGTCTCCTCGGGCTGGGGCTTGCCTGTTTAGCTACCCTTTCTGGCCAGTGAGTCCCCAAGCAGTGTCTCTACAAACTTCTTTTACTATCCTATTGATGAGTGACTGAGGAAGCTCAACCCCAGCCTGTGAGGCCTTAGAGCATCAGGACCTCCTGTCCCTGTCCCCACTGTGGTTCTGCTGAGGGCTCTCCCTGAAGGTCACCTCTGCATCCCGCATGTAGGTTTCTCTGCCACATTGGTTGTGTGGCACACGTGGTAGATTTTTATAATTCCAGGGGGCTGCAACACAGTCTGAATCCTAGATACAAGCACTTGAACTCTCAGAGGTGACACTGGTCTTAGGGGCTCTCAAGGGCGACATGGGCCCTGGGGGCTCCAAGAGTGTGCGCCTCTGAGCAGACACATCTCCTGGTGAGTCAGCAGTGTAAATCACCAGCTCACCTAGGCTAAGGATTCCATTCACATTCCTGGGGGAGGCGGGAGTCATAATACTTTCATTGTTTCATTTCTATCCATTCTATTTCTCTGATTGCTGAAAGGTTTGGTGCTGGTACACTTTTGTCTGCTATTTTTATGCGGACTGTTGTTGTGGGGGCCACAGTGGCAGTGGGGCCAGCCTCCCTGGTCCTGTGGTTGCTTGCCTCTTCCCTGTCTGATGCCAAGACAGTCTCGTTTGATCCATCTCATAATTAATACCTGGAGGGATGTAGATGGCTGTAATGATGCCCCTTTCTGGGCTCTCAAATCCTGCTTTGTTTGTTACATTCAGCCTGTGTTGCTCCAGAGTCATGTACACCAGATGCTAAAGAAGTCTTCAGCTTATTTTTTCCTCTGAAAATGGGGCTCCCTGCCGGCCACCCCTGAATGTCTACCTCTCTTCATCAAAACCCTTTCCAGTGCTAAGTATAACTTTTATAGCAAGGTTTCCGAAGGTCGTCTCGATTGCTCACTCTGCATATTGACACAAGGAGCAGAGTTAGCTGTGGAAGTCCCCGGATGGCTCTGGCTAAGCCAGTGAGAGCCCAGAGATGGGGTCAGGTGTCCTGCTCCTCTCATTAAGTCCCTGTTAGCTCACCTTCCCCACCCCCACCCCAGGCCCAAGTAAACTGGTCACATCCAGGACCTCAGCAGGGAAATTGCACATAGATTCCAATTACACTTCCCAATGGGCATCACCTGGGGCTCAAAACAACAGAGGATTTCTTCTTGTTACCATTGGTTTTGTTTTCATTTGGGTCATTTTCCTCAGCTGGAGTCTACTTCCTTCTGGTGTGGTCCAGTTTTTTAAACCCTGGACCTGGCAAATGAAATGTAAGGCCCTTCTCCCAGTAGAGAAAACCCACCTCAAATTGCATGCCAAGTAAGTCTACTCCCGAGAGCCAAGACAGTGAATGTGTCAGTGTGACAGGCAGCAAGGGTGGGTCAAGGTAGGCCACAAGGGCAACGATTTGCTCCATTTCGTTCACTGCCTCACCCCTACACTGGAAGCTCACTTCCGAACTCTCTGCATTCTCTGTTGAAGGATGAGTGTTGCCTGAAGCCTCCTCTACTGAGGCAGGACCAGAAGTATGTGGTAATATATTAGTTACGATTTATTAAAGCTTGCCTGAGGATTCAGAAAGCATAGCCAGCCACAAGCTATACAGGTCAGGCAGTGATGATACACACCTTTAATCCCAGCAGCCATACTAGCTAGCTAAGGCAGTGGTGGCACACACATTTAATCCCAGGACTCAAGAGACAGGCAGATAGATCTGAGTTCAAGGCAGAGTAAAGAGTAACAGAGCTCATGCCTTTGATCTCAGCACCAGGGAGGTGGGGACAGGAGGATATGGCTGGGTAGGAAAAGGAATATAAGAAAGAGGAGACAGGAATTCAGAGCTTTGGCCTCTGAGGATTTTGGGGACTGAATTGCCATTGTGGCTGGGTATGAAAGGCCAGGATAAAGAAGACCCCCTCAGCAGACAAAATAAGGCTAGCTGGTTCAGCAACTCTGTTCCAGGAAAAGGCTAGCCATAAAAAGTTAGATTAGAATCTTACAAAAATCTTAAGGAATAGGGAGTTTCCCCTTATAATTTCCCTCGGGACCCTACACTGGTATTCTTGGTATTTTGGGTTGGGGTTTCTTCCCTCACTGGTATTCTTGGTATTTTGGGTTGTGGTTTCTTCCTTTAAAAACCCCTATTCCCAGCCATTCGGGGTCGAAACTCCTCTGCCCCTGTGTGGGATATGAGTCTCGGCCCCAGTGGCTGGCTCCTGTCAATAAACATCGTGAGATTGCAGCAAAGACAGTCTCTTGTGAGTTCTTGGGGGGTCGCATCATCCCGAGACTTGAGTGAGGATCTTCCCTTTTGGGGAGGCCTTACAGGTAGAGGTAAGATCTACTGCCTTGGCTGCTTTGCTTCTCTGATCTTCAGCTTGAAGCTTGAGCCCCAACATCTGTCTCTGGATCTATTATTTATCATGCTACAGAAGTAGAATCCATTCCAAGAAGCACTTTTTTCCAAAACTCAAGCCTCGCGGCTGGGTGGGGGTTTTGCTCAGCAGTTAAAATGCTTGCCACCAAAAAAAAAAAAAAGTTCAAGGCCAGCCTGGTCTCCAGAGCGAGTACCAGGATAGGCTCCAAAGCTACAGAGAAACCCTGTCTCAAAAAACAAAAAACAAACAAAAAATGCTTGCCACACAGTCTGCAAATGTGAGGACTGGGGTTTGAATCCCCAGAGCCCACACAGATGCCAGTGGACAGCGTGACCTTCCTGTAATTCCAGCTTTCAGAAACGAGAGACAAGGGGTCCCCAGAACAAGCAGATTAGAGAAACTGGTAGTGTCAGGGAACTCAGGGTTCCCTCAGTCAATAAGATGGAGAGCAAGTGGTCAAGAAAGATTCCCAGGGTCAACCTTGGGCCTCTGCACACCTGTACACACGTGCACCCACAGATAGGCACAACACATGCATACATGTGACAATAAATGGGGGAAAAAAGACTTTTAAAAAGCAGTTGGCATCCTCTTCAGGCTCAGTGATCTGTCACAGGACCAGCTCTGGCTGCAAGGGAAGCTAGGAAATGTTGCTTCCTATTTGCCCTGAGAGGGGAGAACAAGGGAGAGGGGCTTGAGGTTGTTATGTGAGCTAGCACACAGCACCTACCAAGCCTCAGAAGAGTTCTTTGTCGGACTCTCATTGTATGCACGATGACAGTAAGTCTAGAACTGGGGAGTGGCCTGGCTAAGGTCCCATAATAGGCTAAGCTAGAGTCTGGCCAGGTCTCCTCACTCCTCATACGGAAAGCCACTGTCAGGACCACACTGTAGATGCCATTTCCCATGGCGGTGAATACAGTGATATTGAGAAAATAATATAACATCTAGGCAATAGAGTGATTGATGATAAAGACAGAACCCTGATAACTCCCCTCGACCTCTGCGCCGCCCCCCCTCCATCCCTGTGACCCTGGAGTCATTCACTGTGAGTCACCAAGCAAAGCCTAAGTCACATCAGGTCCTCTAGGTTCCCTGGTGCTCTGTAACATTTTTCTATTCTTTAGATCTATTCTATTTAGTGTGTATGAATGTTGTGTTTGTGCCCAGTGAAGTCAGAAAAGGGCATTGGATCCCCTGAAACTTTACAGATGGTTGTAAGCCACCATGTGGGTGCTGGACATTGAGCCACCGTCCTCTGTAAGAGCAGCCAGTGCTCTTAACCCCTTAGCCATGTCTTCAGAGTTCTTTAACATCCTACCCTTTCAGCAGACGTGGGGCGGGTGTGTGTGTGTGTGTGTGTGTGTGTGTGTGTGTGTATGCACACGTGAGAGTGTGAGAGTATATGTGTGTTATTACATACTTGACCTCATGATGGGTGCAAGGATAATGTAGGATTTCTGTGTCTTTGTTAATGTGCTGTTCTTGTCTTCTGTCCCCTTCTGTTATTGGACCAAACAGAAGTGTTCTGCTGTTTCTCTCTGCAACATCTCCACAGAAGTCCTGAAGGTCATCAATGCTACCGAGGAGCTGATTGCAGAGTCTGCAGGGCCCTGGGAGATCCCCCCAGTCCCAACTGACAGAGACATGAGCATGTTTCCTCTTGGGACAGACCAAGTGAGACTGGACAAGCAGCTGACGTCCTTGGAAGAGAACGTAAGAGGGTGTGACTGTGCCTAGGGAGGGTGAGCATGTGTGCAGGAGAGGGAATAGTAGCTGCTCCCGACTCATGCAGGGACATGGACCCCACCACCACCACCACCACCACCACCGTGGCTAGTGTGTCCCTGGGGAAGGCTGAGGCAGGGCTACCCAGAAGGAAGGGTGAGGTCAAGTAACTAAAGACAAATGGGGAGGAAACTATTTGCACCTTGTGTTAAGTTACTTTAGTTGTGAAATGGCATCTGCAGTGTGGTCCCAGTGTGGCTTGCTGTGTGATGAGTTAGGAGACCTGGTGAGGGTTTAGCTCTGTGTAGTTACAGACCTTGGCCAGGTCACTTCCTCTCCTCAGAGAAGCTGGTGCAGGGATAGTGGAAGGAAGGGAAGAGGCAAGAAGCCAGGTGTGTCTTTGAGCTCAGAGCAGCTTCAGCCTGATGCTGCAGAGCGCTCCCAGACCGTAGCTGCATCTCGGACCTGGACTTCTCTGCAGTCAGCCAATGCTTCACACTGGTTGAATGTCTTCAAAGGGGGTCCTCTGGGGGCACTGAGATGTAAGCAGTCAGTGAAGTGAGGCTTTGGGAATAGGGAGGGAGCTAAAGAAAACAGTTAGAGGCCGGGAGCTGGCTCAGTGGCTTAAGTGCTTGTCACACCAGTGTGAGGAGTTTAGATCCACAGAAACCCACAGTAATGTCAGGGAGATGCCGTGGCACACACATGATTCCAGCCTGTAATTGAGAAGGCAGAGACAGGGGTCCCTAGAGTAAGCTGGCTAGAAAAGCTAGCTATCTTGACGAGTTCTGGGTTTGGTTGAGAGACCCTGCCTCAATGCATATGGTGAAAGAGTGTGATGATTGCAAACACCAACCTTGGGCGTCCACATCCATGTGCACTCACACACACACACACACTCACACACACTCACACACACTCATAAACACTCACACACTCACACACTCACACACTCACACTCACACACAGTCACAAACACTCTCACACACACTCACACACTCACACACACACTCACACACTCACACACTCTCACACACACACACTCACACACACTCACAAACACTCTCACACACACTCACACACACTCACACACTCACACACACTCACACACACTCTCACACACACACTCACACACACATGCAAGACACACACGCACACACACGCGCGCGCACACACACGGGGAGGGGGGAGAGAGAGAGAGGGAGAGAGAGAGAGATGGAGGAGGAAAAGAATATTCTGTGGTGTGTGCTAAAGTAGAGCGAGGCTTTCTTCAGGACACTGTGGTGGGAAGGCATAGAGACCTTGGCAGGGGGTTGTGTACTGGGGAAGAGATCGAGTGCCTGATATACATGGATGAGTGGACATGGGCAGCTGAGGAGCAGAGCGGGCATGTCATTGGAATTCTTCCCTTGGGCTGCTAGCCAGCTCCCAAATAAAGACACAGCGACTTCTTACTATGAATGCCCAGCCTAAGCTTAGTCTTGTCCCACTAATTCTTTTTTTGTTGTTGTTTATTTTATTTTATTTTATTTTTTTGGTTTTTGAGACAGGGTTTCTTTGTGTAGCTTTGGCTGTCCTGGAACTAGCTCTTGTAGCCCAGGCTGCCCTCAAACTCACAGACATCCCCCTGCCTCTGCCTCCCGAGTGCTGGGATTAAAGTTCGGGTGCCACCACTGCCAGACGCCCACTAACTCTTTTAACTTCATTTAGCCTGTGTCTGTTCATCTCTGCTTTGCCTCGGGGCTTTTAACCTTTCTTTCATTCTGTGTGCCCCACTTTCCTGCTTCTGCTGTGTCTGCCTGGCCCTGGTGTCCTCCCCCCCCCCCCATGTGCCAGTCTAAACTCCTCCTCCTGCTTACTGTCCCTGCCCAAAAGTCCATCCTTCACTATTGGGCATTCAGCGTTTTATTAGACCAATCAGATGTCTTAGGCAGGCAAGTTAAAAACAGAACACATCTTTACACAGTTAAACATTCTCCAACATAAACAAATATAGCACATTTTTATAGTTAAACAAATACAACACATCTTTTTTATAGTTAAAGAACTGCAACACATCTTTGCATAGTTAAACAAATATTCCACAACAGGGGTGAGGAGATAGAAAATGCCCAAAGAAACCATAAGGGGTGATTAAACAAGCCTAACCGTATTCCTGCTGAAGACAGGCCAGGGTGGTGCAGGCATCATTTGGGGACAAGTGGAAGATAAGAAACCTAATGAGAAGCTGGGTGTTGGTGGTACACGCCTTTAGTCCCAGCGCTAGGTAGGCAGAGGCAGGCGGAGCTCTGTGAGTTCAAGGCCAGTCTGGTCTACAGATGGAGTTCCAGGACAGGCTCCAAAGCAATACAGAGAAACCCTATCTAAAAAACAAAACAAAACAAAACAAAACAAAAAAAAAAAAAAACGAAAGAAAGAAAAAAGGAAGGAACCCACTGAGACATGGGTGATCTGCTATCAGGGATGGCGTTCTGGCCAAGGTGGTTGAGCAGATTCCTTAGATAATACTTGATCTAGGAGCTTCTAGGTGAATCTGGGAGATGGTTCTGAGCCCGCACTAAAGTTTGGGCAACGAAGAATCTTTGTTGAGGTGAGTATGTGGGAAACTGACCACATACAAAATACTGACCACATACAAAAAAGTGGCCCAGTAGAGAGCCAGACAGAGTTCTTCCACTGCTGCTGAAAGAGCCTCAGTTATGGGCTGGAAGACATCTCTATAGGCAAAGTGTTTACTGTACAAGCATGAAGCCCCAAGTTCGATATGTAGAATTCACAGAAGAAAGCCAGATGTGGTGGCATGTTGTAATCCCAGTGCTGGGGAAGCAAAGACAGACAGACACCTGGGGCTTGCTCGAAATTAAGCCTCACTGGGTAAGTTCCAGGCCAGAGAACCCTGTCTTAAAATACAAGGCAGGTGTACCTGAGCAGTAACAGCCCAGGCTGCCCTCTTACATACACACACACACACACACACACACACACACACACACACATACACACACACCACTGACAGCAGTCAGTTTTATCTCATTGTATTTAGAACAAGGAAAACACACCTTCCTTTCTTCTAAAACCATACTGAAAACTCCATGCTCTGTGTGTGCATTTCCATTGGCGTAGAATGATTGTGTTGTTATTTTGTTGGGGTGGGGAGGGCTCATTA